TGTTCTGGAGGCAGAGGCTCACGGGGAGTTTGCGCGCGTGGACTCTAAAGACCAATCTGAACACATCACCCCTTTGTTCTTCTCACACTCCTGTGCGAAAAGGGGAAAAAAAACCCACAAGGACAGGAACCCTTTATTGATCTTAAATCACGGACACGATGTGCTGAGTATTAATCCTGATTCTGTCTTTAGCTTGGAAGAAAAATCAATTACTTTAAAAGGCAGCCAATACAGACAGAGCACTTGCAGAACTTTGGGGAGTTGATCTGCTCCATGGGGTCACAAAGAGTTGGACACGATTTAAGACTAAACAACAACAAATTTAATTTCTTAATTTCTCCAAGCTCCATAGCCAACTAATTGCCCTTCTGATTTAGTTGCCTCTTAAATCTTTTTTTTCCATATATTGGCCAGTTCAGGCACCCTTGGGAACTCACCTGAAGAACTTTATAGGAGTCGCCTGTTGCAGGAGAATAAGGGTCAGGAGGATAAGTAATGCCATCCACAACTATCTTTTTGTAGGGCACACAGTGTAAGACATCCGGGTCTTCCACATTCCATCCCTGGTAATAATACCCCTTGAGGTTCTTCACAGGGAGCAAGTTATAAACCTAAAAAGAAAGCAGTCAAAAATTCAGTGTGAGGTGACATATTCCTTGGCTGAAGCCGAGAGAGCTTTCCGTTTAGCGCTCCTCAAAGTAAGAAGCTGAGTCATCAGGGCAGAAATGTACGGGGTCTCCCCTTCTCTCCCCTTTGGCTTGTTGGCTACAGATAGAATCTGAGGGTGGTCAGCAGAAAAGGCAAAGAGCCTTTTAAGTAAAAAACCCAACCATGTTTATTGGAAGAACCGTGTATGGAAACATGGAGTCAGGATGTGAACAGCAGAGGGTGGTCCCATCAGGCCAAAATGTGCCCAGAATGTATCTGTAGATCTCATATTACTTTCCAGCTGGCTTTCAAAAAGTTATTGAATATTATTTTACCAAGGCCTTGGCAGCACTTCATTGTTGCAATAACTCCAGGCAACCCCAGCTTGCCTGTCTCTACAAGCTTTATTGATCTCTAACCGGGGCTTCTGTTCTAGACATTCATTCAGAGGTGAGAACGTTCATTCAGTTGCCAAGACTACGGATACGTCTTTGACCTTGCTCTGCCCGAGCCACCGAATGGCTTTGCAAAACTGATGCAAACGATCTCTTCAAGCTGCACATTTTAAAACACTTCCATCTTAGACACCCACCCAAAGACCCACACCCGCTACCCTTGAGAGAACCTGAGAGATGGTTTAGACTCACCGTTTGAGGGGAGAGTTCGGCTTCTGGCTTCAGGAGGAAGACGCTCTTGTCGACAGCATGGATGGCACAGAGGGAGCCCTTCGCGGCCGCCAGGTGGAGGTGGGTGTCACTGGCGGGCAGGCCTGTGGGTTCGGTGAACTCCAGTCTCACCTGTACAGATACAGAAGAGAGAAAAAGGGCTTGGAAAACTCCACTGGGAGGCCCAACAGGATCAGACCCTCTCGGCATCTGTTTTCTCAGCTTGGCTACTTCTCTGTGGCTGCCAAAGAACAAGGGCTGCACCGCTCCAGCTGGTCAGGGCGAGCCTTGTGGCTGCCACCACCACCTCCTCCTCCCAGCGTTAGTAGCTTTGACAGCTGCTGCCTTTGTTTGTTTGTTTCTACCCTGCTTTTCTCCTTAAAAAAAAAGAGGACCCAAAGCGGCCAAGCCCTGAGTTAGAATGTGTAAAAGGTACAAGTAAGAGGATTTGAAGACTAAACACAAAACATCCTCCTTCCAATAATAGAACCAGTCTTGTCCGCAAAGCTAGTAACACACAGTGGACTCAATTCAGTGGTGTGACTTATTATTATTATTAGTTTTGTTTAGGTGCAGCATTTCTCCCAACAAGGGACCCACAGTGGCTCACAACATTAAAATCCACACAATTAAAAAACACAATGGGTTAAATATTAAAAGATAATTAAACAATATATGATTTTAAATACAATTAAAGCATTGAAATATGAAAACATGAAAAAGATTAAAATCAATGGTTTTTAAATCAAAAATTTTCTATTACAGTCAATAATATTCAATGAGATAAAGTAACTCATGTTATTGAATGGAGCTAATTGAGTGCACAATTTCAGCATAAGAGGCAAAAAAAGTGGTGGTGGGGGGAAGAACAACACCCACAGTTCTGGCTCCAAGAATTAAGCAATATTGGCATGCAAGAGATTCTCCTTTGATAGAAGGACAATTTTACAAACACATCATTTTAATGCATAGATTTAGTATATCATGCCAATGAGCAGTACATGCATAAACCTTATACATCATGCCAGTGCACCACCAACTATATAAAGCTGATAATTTTTTTACCAGATTAGCACAAATCATTGTTGTTGTTACAATGTTAAACAAGCTACTGTAA